AAAAAAAAAAAGTTAAAGTCATGGTCCTGGGGTCAGAACTAACTCACAGGTGATCTTCCATTGGATTTCCAAGACTATAAATCAATTGTGTGTTTACCGCAAATTTGTTAGCTGTTTGTACAATGTTCTTGTTACTGTTAATATGTGCCACTGAGTTGGAACCAACTCACAGCGAGTTTTCAGAGGCAGTAAATGGCACAGGAGGAGACTGTCCATTCGAACTGTGGACCTTTTCGTTGGCAGCGCAGCTCTTTACCACTAAGTTACCAGCAGCACAACTCCACCAGAGCTCCAGGTGAAAGATTAAAATTCACTAATGGAAAAGAATGTTGTTCTTTACTGTAGCTAAATTATCAAAATACTGACTGATTTTCTAAAATAACTATAGATAATTAGCGCTCAATCTTAACCTTGCTGAATGAAACAGAAAATGTCAAGCAACTAAATAAAGTAACATTCTCTGGTCCTAGGTTATATTTAGCTCGTGCAGGAACACACTGATTAGTAATATCTATGCAAATGAAAACTATAAAGTGCTGAGAAACAGAACAAATTTGGTTAGAAAAAAAGTTCTCATGCTAGCAAGAGAGCCTATGAGAATGTCGTATCAGCAGAAGAGAAGTGATAACATGTCCAAGAAGAGCCTGCCTTGTACAAAAACACATCATAATTAATCCTTACTTCTCTAAATTTCTTTGAAAAAGAACTGACCAACTTTTCCGCGACTCTCTGCGTCCAAGTCATTCTGTTAGTAGCACCAAAAAGCACAGGTCCCAATGAAGCAGAACAGCAAGTGCATAGAGTCACTCAGGCACAAAAACTCCTGAAACACTTACCAGCTTAATAAACTGTATAGAGCAATGACAGCATCAAAGGGGAGGAAAAGCAAACTAGAAGTATAAGGTGACAAGTGAAATGGGAAAAATGCTGACAAAAAGAATCGTTAGAAAGAAAATTTTATAACTTCAAAGGTGCTAAAATGCAAAAAAAAAATTTAAAAAGAGGTAAAGACTACATTAACAAAAAATTTCCTTCTATTTAAATGATAGAATAGTTAATAATTCATATCACAAAATTAAATAAGATCTAAATTAAGATGTGATTTATAATCAATTTCTACAACTATGCATCATAGAAATAAAACAAAATTTATTACCTTGATTTCTCTTTGTTCAACAGATTTTTCCCATATTTGTTGATCATATGCTCCAATCTATGAAAGGTAAAAAACACTGTATTAAATGATCAATGTTGATAATCATCAAATTTCAAACAACTTAGTATTCACTTAGCACAGGTTAGATTAAGATCTGTCACACTTTTGGGATAAATATCACACTGCAATGTTTCTCAAAGTGTGGTGTCAGAGTCAACAGCATCCACATCATCCTGGCATGTATTAGAAGTACAAGTTTTCAGATCTACATACAGTTTGTTATTGCTATTCTCTCAAAACACTCATTGCCATTGACTCGGAATCAAATCACAGCTGACCCTCCAGTAGGTTTCTGAGGTTATAAATCTCTAAGGAGATTGCCCTTTTTTTTCTGAGTTAGATTGTTAAGTGCCACTGAATCAAGTACAACTCATAGTGACCCTATGAACAAAAGATATGAACCCTGTTTTATCCTGTACCATCCTTATACCTCTCAACACACAAGAGCCCATTGATTGTGGTAATCACCACATCAATCCACTTGGTTGAGGGTCTTAGTTGACCCTCCACCATTGCCAGCATCATGTCCTTCTCTCCAAGGAACAGCTCCTCCTAGGAACATGTCCAAAGTATGTGAGGCGAAGTCTCATGATTTTTGCCTCCAAAAAGCACCCCGGCAGCAACCTCTCCAAGACATAACTGTTTGTTCTCTTAGCTGTCCACATGACATTCAGTGTTCTTCTCCAACACCACAGCTCAAAGGCATCAATTATTCTTCTGACATCCTTATTCCTGTCCAGTTCTTAGATGCTTAGCAAGCAAGTGATTGGAAAGACGATGGCCTGAATCAGATGCACCTTAGTCCTAAAACTGACATCATAATTCCTCAGTAATTTGGAGAGATCCCTGACTGCAGAGTTTCCCAGTGCAATGCATCTTCTTATTTCCTGACTGCTAGTACCAAGGGTGTTTGTTAACTGTGTTTCTCCTGAATAGGTGTCATTAAGTAAACAAAATGAAACTCTGCCAGATTCTGTGCACGCTTACCATCTGTGCTTAACCCAAAAACCACTGCTGTAGCCACTACGGCAGTCTATCCGCAGAAATCTGGGAATGAGACCCAATAAGTTACGCTTTAAAAAAAATTCCTCAATGTGATTTTTTTTTTCAACGTGATTTTAATGCATCAATAAAGCCTGGAAATCACAGTTACACTGTGGATATTAAAATAGAAAATGAGTATGATGTGGAATGGAAATCCAATTTGATTTAAAACTTTGCACTCAAATGACAAAAAAAAAGTTCAAGTTTGTCTGAAAAATAAAATGAGGTCTATAAATTCAACAATGGAATCATACTAAACTGTAAGGAAATATGTAAATGAATCTTGAAAATATTATGCTAAGTAAAAGAAATAAATCACAAAAGGTTGAATATGAAATGGTTTTTCCTTCAACAAAATGGCAAGAATTGGTTAACAATGAACCATTTCAAAAAAGATTAAGAACCAATGGTAATGAAGGAAGATGTTCAAGCTGCACTGAAGGCTCCGGTAAAAACTAAGACTCCAGGAATTGATCGATTACCAATTGATACATTTAACAAACACATGCAGCCCTGGACCTACTATATCTATGACAAGAAATCGGGAAGATAACTACCTGATCCACCAGCAGAAGAGGTATGTATTTGTTCCTATTACCAAAAAAAAGTGATCTAACAGAGTGTGAAAATTATCACACAGTATCACTAATATCACATTCAAGTAAAATATATTGGAAAATTATTTAAAAACCCACTGGAGCATTGCACTGCCAGGAACTTCAAGAAATTAAAGATCGATTCAGCAGAGGCCAAAAAGCAAGCTATATTACTGCTGATGACAGATGGATCTTGGCTGAAAGCAGAAAATACTAGAACGATGTTTACTTGTATTTTGTTGACTATACAAATGCATTTGACTGTGTGGATAACAAATAACACAGAGAAAGATGGGAGTCCTAGAACACTCAACTGTGCTCATGTGGAATCTAAACACAGACCAGAAGAGGTGGCTGACTTGAACAAGCAAACACTGCATGATTCAAAATCAAGAAAGGCATGCATCAGGGTTATATTCTTTCTCCAGCTTATTCAATCTGTATACTGAGCAAAGAATTCAAGAAGTTTGACTATATGGAGAAGAATATGGCATCAGGATTGGAGGAAGACTCACCAGAAAACTAAGTTATGCAGATGACACAACCCTGCAGAAAGTCAAGAAGGCCTGAGTGCTTACTAAAGGAGATCAAAGACTACAGCCTTCACTACAATTGCAAGGAAACAAAAATCCTCATTACTGACCAAATGGGAAACAATGACATGAAGAAAAGATTGAAGTGTCAAGGATTTCATTTTACTTGGATCCTTAATTAACACCCACAGTAGCAGCAGCCAAAAAATAAAAAAAATATGTTGCTCTGGGAGAATCTGCTGTCAAGGATTGCTGCAAAGTGCTAAAAATGAAGGATGTAAGTTAAGACTGTGGTGCGTCTGATGCAATCCATGATATTTTCAATTGCTTCCTATCAATCTGAAAGTTGGATAGAAGACAACAGAAGAAGAATCAAAGTCTTTAAATAGTGATGTTGGAGAAGAGTACCAAGTATCTCAAGGACTGCCAAAACAAGCAAGTTTCTCTTGGAGGAAGTGTGACCTAGGTGCTTCTTCAAGGCAAAGATGGAAATGCTTTGTCTCCCACACTTTGGGCATGTTGTCAGGAGGGGATAGTCTTTGGCCAAAGATACTGGGGAAAGTGAAGGGCCAGGAAAAGAGATGAAGACCTTCAACAAGACAGATTGATGCAGCGACTATAACAATGGTCTCAACTCTATCAGATCATGAGGATGGCACAGAATAGGGCAAGGTTCAGATTTATTGGTCAGGGGCTCTGTGAGGCAGTCAGCCTGATAACACCCAACAACAACAAAATTTTTAAGATCTACCGTTTATAAGTGAAAACAGATCTGTCACCACTCAAAGTTTTATTTTCTGAGACACTCGTATGTTTTTTAATCTCATAATGATTTCTCCATAAATTGAAAAAAAAAGGGAAACTGAAAAGCTAATAAGGGAAAATAGAAATCACCAGTGAATGAAAATCTGTGTCTATAATCCTGAATGTTATGATAGTATCTCCAAAATCTTACCAAGCACGTCTGTTAATACCCCTAACACATATGAACACATACCATTTAGGGACCCTCAGAGCCATTAGGGTTAATGATAACACTCAAATCTTCACCTAAGCAGACACCCAAAAAGAAAATTTTTTTAAAAATAATGAGAAAAAGAATCTATTTAAGAAAATGGGACTTTTCCCATTCAAGTTAAAATAAACATTTCATATGCAAATCAATAAAAATTATAAAGAAAAAAATAAACATTTCAGGATAAAAATTTAGTTATACTGGCCTTGTTATTACATATTCTATAGATAAATTTACAATTTAAAAATAAAAAAATATTCATTATATTTGTCAGCTTCAAAATTGTTGCTGCAGATAATTTTTGTACTGAAGTAGAAGTCAAATCCATGACTTTGTTTGGAGAACCTAGAAATGCAAATTGTTTGCTAAGGGCATGGTATTTATACCATTCAAGTTCATGGTAATCCCTTTTGTAATCAACATGCTATTCTTTTTTTTTTTCAGTGTCACAGAATCTCCTGATCCCAAGTATAATCAATGGAAGATAGTGCAGAAGTAACTCAGTTCATCTTGCTACAACTAAACAATGACCCTCATCTGGAGATTCCTCTTTTTATCCTATTCCCCCCCCCCCATTTAGCTCATCAGTTTGGGAACCTAGGGGTACTTGCACTGATTTTGTTGGACTTTCAGCTACACTTCCCTGTATTATTTTCCCCTCAGTAACCTGTATGGTTACTCCTCAGCTGTTACTTCCCAGATTATGGCTGGATTCCTCATGGAAGACAAGATCATCTCCTACAATGCTTGTGCAGCTTCAATGTTCTTTTTCTTTCTTAATGTTATCTTTTAAAAATTATTTTTATTTAGTATTGGTGTGCATACAAAATTCATATACATTGTGTTTCACATTATCCTTCACTCACATTGTGTTTCATACAATCATTGCCATTGATTGTGTTTTGTAAAATCAATCACTACTGAACTATGCCCACCATTACTCCATCTTTTCAGATCCTCACCAGATCTTACCTCCTCCCTCCACCCACCAAATTCTGCAACCCTGATTTCTCCCACCCCACCATCATCACCACTCTGCTTCCACCCCTTCCACTCCTGGATCCCAATACATGTTTTACTAGTTATCCTTCTATTTTCACAATAATGGTTTTAAGCGGTATTTGCCCTTATGAGATAGAGTTTGTTCTCTAAGTAAATGCTCTCCAGTCTCTCCCAAGTTACGCAGTAATTTTCGAAATCATGGCTCCTGCATGGGGGGTGCACTGTACTCCATCATGTGAATGTACCATAATTTCTCAATCCATTCGACTGCAGTTGGACATTTGAGTTGTTTACATGTTCTTGCGGTGGTAAATAATGATGGTATGTATAAATTGTTGTTTGTGTCTCAGTTCTAATTTTCTTGGGGTTTATTCCTAGTAGTGGAAAAGCTGGGTCATATGGAATTACAATGTTCAGCTTTTTGAGGAAATGCCAAACTCTCTTCTATAGGGTTGTCCCATCATACAATCCCACCAAGAGTGTAGGAGATCTCCTCTCTAACGTTTACAGCTTTCTATTCTGTTAAATAAACTTTGCCACTGCTGCTGGGAGGAGATGGTATCTCACTGTGGTTTTGATTTGCATCTCTCTTATTGAAAATGATTTTGGGCATTTCTTCATGTGTCTGTTGGGCATCCGAATGTATTTCTCTGTGAAAAGCCTTTCCATGTCTTTTGCCCATTTTGTAACAGGGTTATTTAATCAGCATTTTTCTTCCTCAGGTCCTATGGTATTCTGTAATCTTTTGTTATGAGACTCTTGTTTTCTATTGCCAAATGTTTTTCCCAGTCAATAGGTTTTCTATTT